AATCTTTACTTGAATTGAGAAATTATTTGAGAATAATAAAATGCTCAATTAATGTGTTATGTATGATACTTATAATCTATTTCTCCATCTTTATTTATCTCATTTAAACTATTTCTGTTAAATTAAATTTTAAAATTTATTTCTCACCTTCATTAATATTTGATTTTTTATTTATAAAAGTTCAAAAACTTGTTGTGGAAAATAGAGTAAAAAATTACATTTATATTTTAAAAAAATTACAAAAAATAAATAATAATTTCATATATATTTAATAGGGTAAATTAAATTAAATTACATTTATATATATTTTTTTTTAGTTTAGTAAGTGTTTTATTTCATTGTGTATTTAAATTAGTATTAGAGTCTGATTTCTCAGTCTTGTCAATAAAATTATATGAGTATTAGATATACGAAAGAAATAAAATTAGATAATTTAAATAATAATAGAACAAAATAAAGGTAAGACATTAAAAAATATAGTAAAAATTTAATCATGAAGGTGAGAAATTAATTTTAAGATTTAATTTAATAAAAATAGTTTAAATGAGAAAAATAAAGATGGAGAAATATATTTTAAGTATCATACAACAAATTAATTGAGTATTTTAATATTATAAAATAATTTCTCCATTCAACTAAAGATTAATTTTATTTTTAGGTGTAAGAAATGAGAAATTGTTTGAATTGTTTATTATTCTCAAATGATTTCTTGATCTTTCGTTCCCTATTAATTAATTTTAATTTATTGTGAAGCGATTAGATTTTTTTTATTTTAATATTTATTTTTCAATTTTTTAATTTTTTAAGAATAACTTGCGTTTTTTTAAATATGTATCGATTATAAATTTAATGACTTAAAGATAAAAATTAAAATTTGTTAATAATATCTTAACAATTTAGGGATAAATAATTTTCTTACATATGAATAAATAATAGGACAATTTGCTTGAAAAAAAAAATCCATTTGTTTCAACTTAAAAAAAGAAAATAAAATAAAATTTAAATAATAAATGCATTAATTAAAATTGATAAATATTTCGTTGTTTATATAGTGTGAAATAAGTCTTATAAGTATTGTATTAATTATTGAGATCTTACAATAAGTGAAAATTTCAGGAGAAGTAAGTGAAAATTTTCTTTTAAATAGCTTATTAGTTCAAAAGGGCAATATGATCATTTTGGATAAAAAAGTAACGGCGCTTGTGCTAAATTAACAGATTGGCAAAAAATTGATATTGTTAGTAAAAGTAAGAGAAATTTCTGTAATTATTGAAACTAGAGAGAAGATCTCTATATTTATCAGAAATTTCATGGAAGGTAAGTGTAATTTAAACTTAAAAAAATCATTCCAAACCTTGTTTAGTTTTGATTGATTTTATGAAAATTGAGTTTTTTCCTTTCTATGTTTTTTTTTAATATAGTAATTTTTTAATATTTTAAATATATATATATATATATATATTACTTTTTAGATATAGGTTTTTAGTTTAAGCTTTCTGATATTAAGATTATATAAAATAAAAAATATTTAATATTTTCATTATAGTTGGGATCCCTTAACATTTTCACATAAAAATTTTAGCTTGTCATAGAGAAAATATGAACGAGCTAAAATATTCAGGAACCTTAATTAATAAAAAAAATATATTAAATCTCTCCTATTATTAAAAATTAAAGAGAAGCGTTTCAATAATTTTCCTTTTCAATAACTTCTATGATATTTGGTGTTGTCATAACTAATATTCACAGATGGCGTAAAATATTAAACACACGCAACAAAACTAATCGTTGTGTTTGCTTTTAATTTTTTAGAAATTGAATTTGTTATTTTTCATTTTTTTTATTTTTAATGAATATTTTAAAATTTTAAATAATTTTTAGATATATTTAAATAGAAAAATATTTGTGAAAAATTAATAAATATACAAAAATATAAAAAATGTACTAAAATTTTGTTTTATTTATTTTCTTACATTTTTGGTTTCTAGTGAATTTTTTAAATATTATTTTTTTTTCATAGATATTACACTTTTTAAATATATTTATGTTAAGTGTGTCTAGAAATTAAAAAAAAAATGCTTAAAATATTAAAAAAATTATTAAAAATAAAAATAATAAAATTTTCTAAAAACCAAAATTAAACAAGTTGAATATTTTTATCTAATGAAAATACAATAATGATAAATTATGTACCCTTAAATTTTTGAATAAACAAAAAATGCCGCAATATAATAATAATAATAATAATTGGGGGGTAAGTAAAGGTGGGCATACGTCACGTCGGGCCAAGTTCGGGTTAGGTCGGGTATTACATAATATGAGATTTTATGTATGTTCAAGTCTGTTTGGATCTTAATGTCATTGGGTCTTTACATTTGCTCATGCTCGATATATAAAAAATTCTAAATTCTAAGTTTATTCATTGGATTATATGTTAAAAAAAATTAAAATATTTCATAATTATACTCAATCACACATTATATTTCTTAAATAAATATATTGACATCATTATAAATTATTTTGTATTAAAAAAATTCAATCATACATTGCTATAAATGTAAGTTTTAATAAAATTATTAAAGATAAATTTTAAATCCCAATAAAAAAATATATATTTTAATATATTATAATTAATTAATTAATTTAAAGATTGATTTTTTCTCATACTCACATCTTATATTGGGATAATTTAAGGACCCGCAAGGCTTATGAGTTTTGTTTTAATTATCCAAACTGTTTATTTTATAAGTCTCTTTATGTATACCATCTATAAAAAAAATTAATTTAATCCAATAATCGTAATAGTTTTATTTTATCATATTTTTCTTCCAAAAAATAGACGACAAATATATTTGTAAAAATAAAATCATTCATTTTTCTAGAGACAAATAAGATAAAATGATAAGGTTATAATTATTAGACCAACTTAAAATTTTTCAAGACTATATACATTAAGAGCCTTACAAAATAAATTATTAAAATAATTAAAATGATATTTGTAGTCAACTTCACAAACTCTTTCAATTCGAAAGTACTAGAGATTTAAAAGTTCTATCAAAATTTTTACCAAATGTCTTACATGGGTGTGTGACCCATATGAGACTCACATGATGTGAGTCCCACACTAATGTGAGACATTTGGTAAAAACTTTGATAGAACTTTTGGAATCTCTAGTATTACTCTCTTTCAATTTTCTCATATCAAGATGTCAACATCAATAAAAAAAAGTCATATGGGGCAATTTGGTAACACAGTTAAAAATTAATTTTTAACTTTTAACTCGTTTTGTGTCACACAATTTCTTATATTTTTTTACACACAAGAATAAAAAAATTAAAAAAAAATCAAAGAATTAATTTTTAACTAACTTTTTAAATCACCCCTATATAATATGTATATATATATATATTTCACTTATCTTATTTTTATAGACATTATTAAGAATTTTGAGTTTTAACATTTTTCTTGTGAAACACTCACCCCCTCCTGCCTTGCTCTACCGCACTCCCAAAAAGTAACCCAAAAAAGGGACTCGAAACCACGAGCTCCATTGTGCTCTCTCCCTCTCATCTCATATAAAATTTTGTTACGTCAAGCAGAATTGTGAATATTTTTAAAGATTTCAAATATTATGATATAAGAATTTGATTCATTATCATTAAAGTCTTGTTTGAGGTGTACTAATAAGTACATATTTTTTATTTTTTTATCTTTTTTTCATCACATCATCTCTCTACTTTTTTGTACATTCTTTTATAAAAATTTAAAAAATACACTTTTTAATAAATTAAAAGTTAACACATATCTTGACGCAACATTATAGGTAGTATTGAAAGTATTTTTTGAACTTCTCAAACATTTTTTTACATATAATATAATAAAGTAACGCTATAGACTCATAATTTTAATCCATAAGCTCATCCACAATGATACGATAAAAGAGTGAAACTTATATTAGTAGATGTATAATTAATAAAAAATTCACACATATAGGCCTGATTTGTCGTTCTTTAAAAAAGTCAAAAAGTCAAAAAGTCATTATCCTATTTAAGGCCAAGTTTGGGAAGACTAAAAAAGTGCACTTTTTGTCTTTTTGGACTAAAAAATTGAGGTTGAAAATATGGATGTTTGGGTTAACTTTTTGACTTTTTATTGAAAAATGTGTAATAAAAAATTGTAAAAATTGATTTGTAGGGAAAAATTTGAATTGAGAGTTGTGCAGCCGTAATTGTTGACTTTTGATGAATAGTACTTTTGGTGAATAGTGTTAACTTTTTAGCTTTTTGAGTAACTTTTTGACTTTTTGGCTTTTTTGGATCTTCCCAAACTTGGCCTAAGTCACATCATTTTGTTTAAGTCACATCACCTCTCTACCACATCACTTCAAATTCAACCCATACCTAATCCATATTTTATAAAAAGAAAAAAAGTGTACTTATTTAGAACATCTCAAACAACCATATAATATCATTTACGAATACAATTTAGTGCGTTTAGTTTGAGTTTCCTAGGTTAAGTTTTTTGAAAATTGACTTTTTTTGTTTTCGTATTTTTTTTGTTTTTAATGAATATTTTTTAAATTTTAAATATTTTTTTTACTTTTTTAGATGCACCTTACTTAGATGTATCTAAAAAGTAAAAAATTTATGAAAAAATATTTTAAAAAATTAATAAATACATAAAAATAAAAAAATATACTGAATTCTTGTATTTTTTTATATTTTTGGTATTTAGTGAATTTTAAAAAAAAAATTTTACAATTTTTTTATTTTTTAAGTATATTTATGTTAGGTGTGTCTAAAAAATAAAAAAAAATTGCTTAAAATATTTAAAAAATTCAATAAAAATAAAAAAAATACGAAAAATAAGAAAGTAGAATTTTTTGAAAAGTATTTTTTAAAAAGCGAAAACAAGTAAGGTGATTGTAATTATTTATTCATTTATTTTATTGTTGTTTTTTTTTTTTTAGGTGTTAAATGTTTTCCTATATAATATGCTCATCTAATCCCATTCAATCACCGTTTTTTCACTCAAATGGATCTCGTCACTCTCTTACATCTCTCCCTCCATTGAATTCCTCACTTCATCTTAGGAAGCTTCGTCTTCCTCATGGAGGACAAACCATGGGAATTCAGTTCCATTTCCGTCAAGCTCTTGGCCGATACCATGGACTTTCTCGAGAAAACACTTTCCTATCTCTCCTCTCTCTCCTCTGACCCTCTTTTCTCAACCATTATCACTCTATACACTATACTTCTCCTCTACTTCCCTAAAATTTTCCTGGGAATCGTTTTCTCACCAGTGCTGATCTCAACTGGAATTCTACTACTCACACTTCTCAGATTAGGAGCGATTCAAAGCGTCGAAAAGGAATTCAATTCCACCGAACTAGAACAAACCCATCATCATCATGATTCGACAGTCGAAGATCGCAAATGGGTCTCGATCGAATCAAATTCGGAGTCCAAAACCGAAATGGGTTTGGATCCGAACCCGTTTTACGCCGTATCGTTCGTCGAATGGGACGTGAGAGCACCATTAGAGGTGATATACGAAGTATACGAAGGCGAAGAAGACGAACAAAACGACGACGTCTTAGAGGATAAAGAAGAGAGATACCCATCGCTGTCGCTGTACTACCCGGAGTCCGACTCGGATAGCTCGTCGGACTTCGATTTTCCGGTGATCGGAGAGTGGGAGTCGCCGGAGAGACTGTGCTTCAGGTGGGACGAAGAGGACAGAGATGGGTTGATTGAGATTGAACTGGATGATGGGAAGAGAACAAGTGAATTGTTTCATTTCGAAGAAGACAATCTGATTGAGATTGATATATCTCCGGCGAGAATGATGCGTTTTCCGGCGAAAAATGGTAAATTTTCCGGCGACAATTATAGTAATACTAGGAACACAGAATCAAACACGAATGGGACACAACTCCTTTAGAAGGATAGATCCTACATGAAGTTTTCATAGGACTTATCCTTTGTAAAAATATTATGCGATTTCTGTGCATATAATTTAACTCATTAATTAAAAATGAGATAGGGAATTAATGTCTTTGGAGGATGAGGAGAAAAAAAGACGAGATTTTTAGGGTCTTGGGTGTTTTTTTTTTTCGGATTTGGATAAACAGACAAAGAGGGATTACTGTTGTATTACATCGTGGGCATGTACATTAGTCACTAAATCCAAGGATTTGAAGTGGATGAGGGGTGGAGAATGACTACACTTTTATCTTTTGTGAAAGAATTAAACAACTTTTTGGATGTGCCCTTATTGGGAGAAGAGAGTTAAGTAATTATTCAATTCAATTGTATTTGTGAAGAGCTCGATTTTAAGAAAAAGGGTCACTGTTGTGCTCAAAGCATAGTATGTATTTTTATTTGAGGTATATTATGATTTTATTTTTATGATCTAAATTGTTCATATTGTAGGGTTTGTTGAGTGCTTCATGCATACCAAAAATCATATTAATCAGATATCAACAACTATATGATCGATAACCAAAAAAATAAATAATTAGTTTTTCTTTTGAGAAATAGCATAAACAATATGCGATTCGATCATATAGTTATTGATATCCGATTAATATGATTTTTGGTAGGCATGAAGTACTCAACAAACCCTACAATATTAACAGTTTAGATCATAAAAATAAGACCATAATACACCTCAAACGGAGGCACCACAGTCACTGCTGTGCTTTGAGCACAACAGAAACCCCTGTTCCCGATTTTAATAGGAAAACGTTATAGGCGAGTATAAAGGCAAGTCTAATGTTGTGTTTCGTTAGAAAATTTAAGAACAAATTTAAAAAAAAAAGAAGAAATGGTAAGAAAAATATGAATAAAATATATTTACATTTCATATAATTTTACATATATATATATATATATTTTCTAAATTTCTTTCCAAATCCATTAATTAAACACAGCGTAAATTATCAGTGGTAGAATAAAATATAAAATAATATAATTACATTAGTTAAGTTATAATCAAGAATTTATATGTAAAATTTGAAAAAATCTAACAGACTTGGTTGTCATATATTTTTAAGTGTGAAATTGAAAAAAAAAAAACACACACATTTTCAAATTGGTTTGAAATAAAGAGGTTTATAAATTTGGATGAGACTAATATACTTTTACCGTCGAGAGACTACTAGTTTAGAGAAATTTTGTAACTCTTGATTGCTGGGGGTTGGTCTTAGAATTTTGTATTGTTAGATTTTTTTTTTGAGTAGTTATTTGCTAAGTTTGATATACTAATTGTATTGATATTTGTAAAAATTGAAAATATTTTTTTAACGATTGACAGAAAAATTAAATTAATAATTACACATTTGATTAACTTAATTCATATCAATTTAATTTTGCGTGGAAATCTGGATATTTGTTTTTATTTTTAATAATATTGTAAAAGAGGTGCATGACACTCGTTATCATTTTCTATTTGAAAGCTGCTGTGCTATTATTAATGGTCAATTTTCAATCAAGGATGAGGCCAGGCCTTTACCAAATGGCTAATTAATTAGATGGTGACTATGAACATTTTCGTTTATTCATTTATTATTATTATTATTTTTTTAAGGATAGAAATGTTCTTAATGCACTGCTACCAGTGGCACCAAATATTAGTTTACATCCTAACACCAGGGTTTAGGTTTGGGTTAACTATGGGGAGCCCAATCTACTATTTTCTTATTAAAAAAAATACCATGGATTTTTTATTTTATTTTATTTTATTTTTTTGGGGTGAAGCAAATGGATAATCATTTGTTACAATAATAAAAAGGTAGACCTTGAAAGAATGCGAGTATATTGACAATGATTTTATTCAAATAAAAGTAGGTCTAAAATATTTCACAAATGAAATTTTATACAGAAAATCATTCAAAATCATAATATTGAAATGAAAAAGATTAAAAAAAGATACATAATTGTAAATAGAAGTTCTTTAAGAAAATCCTGTTTATATAAATTGGTCGCTCTTTATTAAGTGTATATCTAATTTGTCATCCAAAATTATCCTTCATTGAACTCCCTCAAAACACTTTAGAGTTTGCAAACGCACTTGAATTTCCATAAACAATATGAGATTTAGAGTGCGTGCATACCTCTTTAATCACATATTCACCCAATTTGTGACCTTAAAATTAAGTGCTAACACTCGATATTTTCTTTTTGGGTATGGCTTATGTTCAGTCCGGATCGGACCGTGCTGTTAGGCCCGTAGGGGCCCATCACGGGTCCCGTTTTGATAATCTGAACCGTTCAATATGTAGAAATCGTCGAGTACTATATGCCTGTAAAAAATCACGTTGATCGGATATCGATAGCTATGTAATCAAAACAGTTTTTTGTCAACTGTTAATTTGTTTACCGTCTAATTTTTTTAATACGAAACTGATTTGATCATATAGCTATCGATATCCGATCAACTTGATTTTTTACAGGCATATAGTACTCGATGATTTCTACACATTGACGGTTCAGATTATCAAAACGAGACCCACGGTTGACCCCCACAGGCTCAACAGCACGGTCCAATCCGATCCCCGACTGGACAGAAGCCATACCCTTTTTTTTTTTCCCCTAAAACAAGTTGTCTATCCATTCATCTTTGTGAAGTTATTGGTCTTCTAATTTATCATCCAGTCATGTGGTTACATAATAATAAGAGAATTTGACCATTTTTTTAACGAAAAAAAGAAAAGAAAAGAAAATAATAAAGATGGCATACGGCCAAGCTAAAAATCATTACTCAATAATTTTAATTTTTGGTTTGATGAGGGATGAAAAAAAATTGAGATAATAATGACCACATTTATGTGTAAAAAATTACTTGTTATCTCAATTGTCATCACTTTGTTAGTATAATAAGTTTTACCACTTATGACTTATTATTTGACAACCACACTTTCTCTCCCCCCTCCCCCACCCCTCCCAAAAAAAAGGAGAAAAAAGTAATAACTTCTTTTAAACAATAAATTATGTAAAAGATAACTAAAAAAGCAAAATAAATAAATAAAATAATTTTTTTCGAAATAATGTATTGAAAAACCATTTTACCCTCATTTGTTGCATATTACCACAAAAGAAGTGAAAAAATAATATAGTCATTTTATCTAAAACTCTAAACAATTAAAAAACAAAACCACATTTTCAGAATTAAATAAACATTAAAAAAATAATTAAAGAGTATTTTCCAAACATAATAAGCTTTTCGGAAAGCATCAAAAAAATGAGAAGTATAAAAAATAATTACAAATTCATTAAAGTATAACACTCATTTACACAATCTAGTGCATAAATAACTTGTACTTTCATGATTTTATAATTATTTTTTCAACTTCTCATTTTTTTGATATTTCCTCTAACTTTTTTATTAGCAAATATTTTTTTAAAAAAAGTAAAAAATCAAAGAAAAAACTGTAAAAAAAATATTTTCCATACCAAACCTATGTATATTTTTAAGGGGAAATTACCCGCAAGAGGGAATTTGAAAATTTTATTAGATTTGTATAGAAAAGTTTATAATTTTAGTTATTAATAATGATAAATTTATAATTATTTTTTAAGTTTTATAATGATTTGAAATTTTCTCTATTTTTAATTCAATACTTCAACATCACATGATAAATGAAATATAATTATTATAGCACTATTGTTAGGGGTAGTTACGAACTTATTTATCAAAATGTCCTACAATAAAATTAACACTATAAAAATATTTTTAAAAAAAATACAATTTAACTACTTACACTTTGAACATTATATTTCAATGCAAATTAACATAAATAAACTAAGAATTAATCAAAACTCACAAACAAAAGTCAAAATGTCCAAACCATTTATCACTTTGATAAATTTATCAATATCATTACTAGTACCAAATAATCATTTCACAAATACAAAACATATTTAAAATGTATCAAAAAAATTCATTATTAAAACAAGGGGCAAATAGATATAAATAAATAAAAACAAAATCATATAGACTATTTTTGGTTTATAAATTTTGAGAGAGATTTAAAAATGAAAAGAAAAAACATATATAAAAATAAATAAAATATAATTATATTTTATTCATATTTTACATATATTTTACATTTTTTTTTCTCTTTACAAAAATCTCTCTATATCAATAAACCAAATATAACTTTAACACTTATGAGTGTATAAGTCAAATCAATAGGATATGGTCCCGCTGGTAATTATCCATACAGCAATGATAGAGAGCCCAAATTTTCCAGGTTCGAATGGCTCGAATTGTCCAAAACGACGTCATTTTAGACACAAAACAACGCAAAACGACGTCGTTTTGGTCAATTCGAACCATTTGAACCGCGAATATTGTGGCACCAAACATTTTTCTTATCCATATTTATATCCCTTTCCTACAGAGTGGACATCCCAGATGATGGGCTGCATTAGCCCAATAATCTCTAGGTTGGTCCAAAGTTTCCAAACTCAGTTCCAATTGATGGGCTAATTTGGGGAGATTCTATTTACCCCCCAAAAAATCGTTAAATACTCCATATTTCTAAGTACATTTTTTCAATTATTTAAAATTTTATGTTACACTAAATGTACCATATAATTTTTCCAAAGTTACCCTTAATAAACCCAAATAATAAATAATAATCAAATTAAAAAAGAAAAAGTACTAGCAAACCTTTCAAATTGATTTACAGGAGGCACCGACAAAAGACTCTATAGTCATAGTCACCATTGACAAGCTTCATCTCACTGGCTCTATTTTTTTGTATTTCTTTCTTCTCTTGCTATTTTGCTATAACAATTTGTTGATTACGGTGTTTGACAATTCTATTGCTAGTTTGCAATTCTAATTTGTTGATTACTATTTGGTAAAATGCTTGAATGGGAAAACACTCTACTACCTTGCTTGGCTTACCTCTTTTATTGAATTTATTTCTATATTTTTTCACAATTTAAGTGTACGTGCATATAAAAGTGTTTTTTTTTAAAAAAAAAATTAAAATATTAAAAAGAAAGGGAAAACAAAAAATTTAATTTTCAAAAATAGTTTAAACTACATTGATGGTGTAATGAGTTTTCTTTTATATTACTATGTATGAGTTTTCTTTGATATTTCTACTTTTCTGAATTTGTAATTTCACTGTTAGAAGTTTGAAACTCTTCCATTTTTTGCCTCGGCTAGATTACAGAGAATAGTTATGTTTGCAATGCTATACTGCTAAGGACAACTCAAATTAGGAAAATTTGTAACTTGAAGTGAGAATAACTTGGGAATAAAATTGGATTGTACACAGCCTTACTTTCTGTTGACA